TTTAGTCTGCCATGTTTTATTGTTACCGCTGACTATTAATCTTCAAGAAATATGAATCTGATCACCAACAACGTGTTTGGAAAAAGATAAATGTGGTCTTATAATGGCAGGACCGGGAGCTTCAGTGAAAGATATATTGCTCTGCATGAGTTTGATTAATAATAAACATATAAAATACAAATGCTAAAAGTAACTATAACAATAAAATAGAAATAAATCGCTAGGGATGCGCTATAATCCTAAACATGGAGCCAGTTGGATGTAATGCTATATCATGAGTCATGACACTTGACGTTCAGCCAGTGGAAAGCGTTTTTAGGCTATAATGCAAAATATTATATCAATTCATAAGCCGCAACAGTGATAAGGTGTTAGAATTCAAAGAAGTGTCAGATCTGTTGCCCAGTTACCCAGTTGAAATATTTCTGTATTATATTACGATTATTATTTTGAGGTATAATATTTTAGATATATAAATGAGGATACGTAGTAAAATAAACCACAAGATCAAAGGTCGAGTGCATTATGAATGTCTGCAGAACAACAAGCCTGCATTATTATCCTTAACACATGCGTTAGCATTATGTGTATCTTATAATAATTTTTTTTTTAGTCAATTATATTCAGTGATTTATTTACAGCTACTGCCTTTATTTCAGCTCATCTCTTGATATGACAGGAGAGGAGCCAGGGAGATAGAATAGCACTGTCTGTCTCCTCAGCAACCTAGTCAATTTAGTCTGAATTATATGTTTGTTGCCACCCTGCATCTTGCTGTTTATTAAATAAAATGCTTCTTGTTTTAATTTATACCAAGAACAATGTATCTTACTTGCACAGACTGATATCTAAACACATGAATTGCAGTTTAAAGACACATTACTGGGAGTATTATTGCTGCCTAGCTGTGTTATACACTCAGACATTACTGGGAGTATTATTGCTGTGGAGCTCTGTTATACACTCAGACACATTACTGGGAGTATTATTGCTGTGGAGCTCTGTTATACACTCAGACACATTACTGGGAGTATTATTGCTGTGGAGCTCTGTTATACACTCAGACACATTACTGGGAGTATTATTGCTGTGGAGCTCTGTTATACACTCAGACACATTACTGGGAGTATTATTGCTGTGGAGCTCTGTATACACTCAGACACATTACTGGGGTATTATTGCTGTGGAGCTCTGTTATACACTCAGACACATTACTGGGAGTATTATTGCTGTGGAGCTCTGTTATACACTCAGACACATTACTGGGAGTATTATTGCTGTGGAGCTCTGTTATACACTCAGACACATTACTGGGAGTATTATTGCTGTGGAGCTCTGTTATACACTCAGACACATTACTGGGAGTATTATTGCTGTGGAGCTCTGTTATACACTCAGACACATTACTGGGAGTATTATTGCTGTGGAGCTCTGTTATACACTCAGACACATTACTGGGAGTATTATTGCTGTGGAGCTCTGTTATACACTCAGACACATTACTGGGAGTATTATTGCTGTGGAGCTCTGTTATACACTCAGACACATTACTGGGAGTATTATTGCTGTGGAGCTCTGTTATACACTCAGACACATTACTGGGAGTATTATTGCTGTGGAGCTCTGTTATACACTCAGACACATTACTGGGAGTATTATTGCTGTGGAGCTCTGTTATACACTCAGACACATTATTGGCAGTATTATTGCTGCAGAGCTCTGTTATACACTCGGACACATTACTGGAAGTATTATTGCTCTGGAGCTCTGTTATACACTCAGACACATTACTGGGAGTATTATTGCTGTGGAGCTCTGTTATACACTCAGACACATTACTGGGAGTATTATTGCTGTGGAGCTCTGTTATACACTCAGACACATTACTGGGAGTATTATTGCTGTGGAGCTCTGTTATACACTCAGACACATTACTGGGAGTATTATTGCTGTGGAGCTCTGTTATACACTCAGACACATTACTGGGAGTATTATTGCTGTGGAGCTCTGTTATACACTCAGACACATTACTGGGAGTATTATTGCTGTGGAGCTCTGTTATACACTCAGACACATTACTGGGAGTATTATTGCTGTGGGGCTCTGGTATACACTCAGACACATTACTGGGAGTATTATTGCTGTGGAGCTCTGTTATACACTCAGACACATTACTGGGAGTATTATTGCCGTGGAGCTCCGTTATACACTCAGACACATTACTGGGAGTATTATTGCTGTGGAGCTCCGTTATACACTCAGACACATTATTGGGAGTATTGATGCTGTGGAGCTCCGTTATACACTCAGACACATTACTGGGAGTATTATTGCTGTGGAGCTCTGTTATACACTCAGACACATTACTGGGAGTATTATTGCTGTGGAGCTCTGTTATACACTCAGACACATTACTGGGAGTATTATTGCTGTGGAGCTCTGTTATACACCCAGACACATTACTGGTAGTATTATATCTGTGGAGCTCTGTTATACTCAGACACATTACTGGGAGTATTATTGCTGTGGAGCTCTGTTATACACTCAGGCACATTACTGGGAGTATTATTGCTGTGGAGCTCTGTTATACACTCAGACACATTACTGGGAGTATTATTGCTGTGGAGCTCTGTTATACACTCAGACACATTACTGGGAGTATTATTGCTGTGGAGCTCTGTTATACACTCAGACACATTACTGGGAGTATTATTGCTGTGGAGCTCTGTTATACACTCAGACACATTACTGGGAGTATTATTGCTGTGGAGCTCTGTTATACACTCAGACACATTACTGGGAGTATTATTGCTGTGGAGCTCTGTTATACACTCAGACTCATTACTGGGAGTATTATTGCCGGGGAGCTCCTGTTATACACTCAGACACATTACTGGGAGTATTATTGCTGTGGAGCTCTGTTATACACTCAGACACATTACTGGGAGTATTATTGCTGTGGAGCTCTGTTATACACTCAGACACATTACTGGGAGTATTATTGCTGTGGAGCTCTGTTATACACTCAGACACATTACTGGGAGTATTATTGCTGTGGAGCTCTGTTATGCACTCAGACACATTACTGGGAGTATTATTGCTGTGGAGCTCTGTTATACACTCAGACACACCAACGATATGGAGGACAGTGGGAATTGGGCATAAAACAGGGACATTTTGTTGGGTATCAGACACTCTTTAAACATTTTGCCATCAAGAGGGCATGGAGACTAGAATGCATGTATTGTATTCAGCTTTCTTTGAATTTAGATTCAAATGAATGAAACATTTTTCAAATATGAAACATGAAAGTGACAGTATTATTACCTTACTCAAACTCTCAAACTACCAAAACGCCCATCTTCTGTTATTTATTTTTCCCAGTATGACTTTCAGCCAGTTAATGTGATGTGAAAGAGGCCAAACAAGTAGGTATTGGGAGACAGTAAGTCTTGTCATTGTTTTGTTCTGAAAAGTGGTAACTGATTAGATAATAATATAGGTTGAAAGAAACTCGAGTTCATCTAGTTGAACCTTTAAGTAGTAATTTAACATAATGTGTTTCCATCATATTTATTGAATTTGCTGATGAAATATGACCCTCACAGTTGCGATAAGTTTAATGGCCTTGAATTAGTTCTTTTGTATCGTTTTTCAAATGATCACAGTCACAGTTCAAATGGTTTGTCTACTGAAGTCGCCACTAAAATCTATTGGAATCTTTATAGACCAATCAATTAAATAGTTTCTCTAACAGATTGTGATCATTTGAAAAACGTATACAAAAGATTTAAATTGAAACCAAAGTGCAGGAACTGGGAGTCCAAATCCCCACTTTAGGAACGTTTGATTTAATAGCTTCTCAGATTGTTGTGTGTTCCTAAAGTTTTTAATTCAGCTTTCCGACACTGCCTGTCTCTATGACATAGATTTTGTTTTTCGCAGCAAGATTAAAGTATTGCGCATGCACTGTGTTCTCTCAAAAATGAACGGAAGGCACTCAGAGATGATACAAACACCACCCAGCTCACATGTATAAGATTGTTATTCTTTTAAATGAGAATCATTGTACTTCCATTTCTCCTTTTAGTTTCAGTGGGTGCTAAGAGATTTGCCAACAAAATGTCAGCCTCTTCCTGATTGAAGTGGACATCAGTGGACCACATGAATAATATATTACAAGAAGTGCACAGTGATTTCCTTTTTCTAAAATAAGTATTTATTATAATTTTTTTTCATACCATACAGAACAAAGTGGGTGGTAGATCTATCCAGAAGAGTCACTTTCACAAACTTTGGAAAAGTAAATATAGACTTTCCCATAATATGAGCAAATGTATTTCAATGCTATTTATTTATACACCCAAGAATATTACTGTTTTCAAGCAACCTAGTATATTTTGAATGTATGCGACTAAGAGTGAATGTTAGGGACTCAAGGCAAGAATCAGTTACTCGTTTTTCTATTGCATCCACAAATTGGGTAATCTCTCCCCTCAACCCCATAAATGTAAATAAAACTGATTTTTATTAGGTCTATCACAGGACATAATCACTATTCTTATTGGGAGAAAACCCGCAGCTGTACGCCACGGTAATTAACTCGAAAATATCTAGGGCTCAAGTTGGGTGGTCAGACCATAAAAACAATAATTATTTCCTTTAAATTGGTGGTAATTGAAATCATACAGCATTTCTCAGGAGGGTATAAGCTCCCTCTGTTATATTTCATTGTAAAGATCCGTAAGATTGTGAACGCTTGACAGGAGATGGGTCTGCGGATAGACTGTGGATTGGTTCTGAATAGATTGCTTGTCCAGGCACTACACATTAATACGTTGCATTTACCAACATTCCCAGCCAACCATGTCCGTTAAGGAATGTAAAATATAGGTGGTGTACAATATAATTATTTGTATGAGATATGACTAGTGATTATTTGTTTACTGGAAACATTTTTCATTATGTGTCAGTGTTTATCTGTTCAGTGAACCCAGAGAGATTTCAAGTCAATGCCATGGAGAATAATTGGGGATGAAATAATGAGAATCTTTAAAGTTCAGACGTATTACCAGAGCCCCATTGCTGCAGAATGATTTAGGGGTCTCAAGGTCTCAGAATGTATGACCATATATTTAAAATGTATAAATGCCGTCATGGTGACTTTGCCACTTGCGTGCCGTTACCCTGGGGTGCAGGAAGAGCTGAGAACGCAGGATCCTCCATAGTCCATACACAGAGCCTTTTTCGCCTCAGCCATCACTAGTGACAGCAGAGTGCTTGACAAAGCTTGGCGGCAGTAGCCCTTCCTTTGTCTTATGATGTATTTTGATTGCATAGGAATTTCAGTGAAATTTCAGTACAGTCAATGTAATTATTTTAAAATGATGTATTTTATTTATAAAATGCAAAAAAAAAAAAACATTTGGGGTGGAGGGTGGAGGGGGTCGGGGGGCGGGGGGAGTTTGACAGAGCTTTAAGGTGACAGAGTGAATGGGTAGATTATCCAGATCCCACAGTAACTGAGCCGATTCTCAGTATCAGTGTGAATGGGCAGATTATCATGGTAAATGAGCAGACTCTTAACATCTTGGCGTAAATAAACAGATTCAAAGATCTTTATGGTCTCGGAGCAAATGTGCAAGGTCTCTGAAAGAATATAGATCATTTACTCGCATTCTACACGGACATTAAACATGCAGTCACACACACATTCACACAAATTATACATCCATATTCCATCAGAAACTTATAATGCCACAAATGCAAAGTACAAGGACAAAGCTACATTTAAACTATCTCAGCACTCAAGGGACACTATCATCACCAAAGCAACTTTAATTTAATGAAACAGTTTTGGTGTATACATCTTGCCCCTGTAGTCTCACTTCTCAATTCTCTTGCTATTGGACAAGCAATCTCACCAAGAAGATCATTCTCAAAACTGATTTTGTGTGGAAAGTATAATCTGCTGTAAAGAACCTGTAGTCCTATAGAGTTTAACAATTTTTTTATAGAGAACCAAGTCATTATGGTGTAAAATTAGCTCATTGATCCACTCTTCAATATTAATAGAATTAATATTTTTTAAGATGGTGTTAAACAGCTTCATTAACTTATTTCCTGTATTAAGAAAGATTCCATTATATTATGGAATGCATAAATACCTTATTGTGAGGTCTTCCCTGATGGGAATGATATGTTTGTAAGGACCTATTTTTGGCCCCCGACCTAGAGGTGAAAAATTACTAGTTATGTATTGCACTACACACATAGCTAGGAAAGAGTAGGTTTAAAGACATATTTTTACTTTACCGTTCTGTTTAAAAACTGTATAATTTTTTTCCTGTGGGTTCACAAAGACAAATATGTCTTAGATAAGATATATGGCACACAATTGTTTTCTTACAACAGATTTAACATTTTCGAAAATCTCATGCTTCCGCTTTCTATTCTGAACCTCAAAGAACAGAAAAGATTAATTAAGTTCCACCAGCTTATTTTCACATCCCATATGTTTGGTTTTACAGACTGTATACATACTCACCGATCTTTGATGTGTTTTGTTGAATGAGATGTTCTTAAGCTGTTGCTTGAAAAATGGACAATGTTCCGCTTCGATGTAATAGATGCCTTGCGCTGTGTATCAACATTCGGTCACAGTGCTACTTTGTTTGAATTCAATTACAATTCACATGTTAAAGAACCTTTCATCTTCCCCCCTCCTGTCTTTATAAATCTGATCTTTTTAAAGAGGATGTTATTTATCAAATTATTACTGGCATATATTTTTTGTTTTAATCCACATGACTGGTTGTTTTTGTTTGCAAACCACAGTTGCAGTCAAAACAATATTACTGTTAGGTAATATGGATTGATATTCACATAGAGCCAAGACAGAGCCAACCTGAAGTGGTGTCTTACACAAACTGTAATTTTGGTTCAACTTTTTCCAACTTTATTACCAGATATTGCAAGCTTAAAATTGTAGACTGCAACATGGCACTCAAAGTTGCTGTCTATTTTGCAGAATGGACTGGTTGAGATTATAGATTTTAAACCTAGTGTGAGCCACCAGAGAAGGCTGACATTCCTGCAATTCCATACTGGACTTTGAGGTGTAATAGCCTGGATCAACACTCCAGGGTCTTTACATATCTTGGGTGGTTCTAAGCCAAGGTCTTGTCTTTACTGTAAGTGCATATAACTCTATTAGTTACCAATTGCAATGTTGCACTTAAAAAAAAATGTAAACTGCAGAAAACATGAAATGCAATATATGCAATACTTATAAAATGTCACTACAATTATTAATGAATTACAGTAGTTTAAAAAAGAATCATTTTTCACCAGCAATAGAGGCTTAGCCATAGAGGGGTCCCTATACACCGTGTTTGCTGCCTTTAGTTAATCGGTTTAAGTACTTTTCAGTGCAAATTTATATTTAAATATCTTGTGCGATAAAACCAGATGTGCATGTAGTTTACTTTTAAAACATGTATTCTTTTTTTGTTCTGTTCTGATGCATTCTATGTTGCTAGCCCATTCCTGTGTGCAGCAGAATGTATTTCTCTTTGGTGAGCGGATTAAGACCTTTATACCCTATAACCCAGGACCAGATGTACTTCTGCTGAAGAGAGAATTTTATTTTCTTTGTATTTTCTAAGCAGAACAGCAAATTCCAGATTGCCCACAAAAAAATAATGAAAACAATTTGTATCCATTGTCGTATTGTGTGCACCGAGGTGGCACGGTCAATCACCTCTTCAAACCAAGCAATTCTCAGACACTTAAAGCAGGAGAGTCATCAGGGAGATCCTAATAATACATGTTAAGTTATTTCTGTATCCTTTAAAAACCCAATGCTTGCTTACTCTCTTTGGCGATACAATGGTCGTCTTTGATTAGAACATTTGGCTTTCTGCCTGACACTGATTTTTCGTTGAGTGTCCCTTCTCTGCATCTTGTACAAGCTGAGACACACAGTCTGATCCCCTAGCAGAGAGGGAAACACACACACATTCAGAGTAAATGTTTACCTGTGTGTTTTGCCTAGCCTGGCTGTAATCTCAAACTCTGCTGCATTTTCACTGCTGCCAAAAGAATGATAATGCCAAGGTTAAAAAGTTCACTCTTTGCAGTTCAACCAGAGGTAGAAGGAGAGAGGGTTGATACAGCTCTGTAACTCTGGTCCCAAGAAAAGCACAATATTTTAGATATGTCTTTATTTGACATGGGATATTATGTTTCATTGTAGCAAGTCGTTGATGACTGGAATAAGCATAGTCTATGACCTTCTTTTTGCACATTGTATATAACTGCAGATTTTGACTCTGAGCAGATTGATAAAGCTACAATTAAGCGTATCAATGCCGGTCTCTGTGGGGCCTGGAGCTGATCTGTTGCTGAGAGAAAAAGATGATTGCTCCAATAGTACTGAATGTGTGAATGACGTGCGGTGCCTACGGTTGTAAGAATTACTTTATATTTTGAAAATCACTCTTTGGACTTATTGAGCCTTATTTGACAATGTATTTAAACATAGCATCGCATCACCAGTGTTTCTGTCTGAATATCATTTAAATTATAATTTTGTTAAAGGGAGACTATTGTCACCAAAACAACTTTAGCTTAATGAAGCAGTTATGTTGTATAGATCACACCCCTGCAATCTCACTGCTAAATTATCTGCCATTTAGGCATTAAATCACTTGGTCTATGTAGCCCTAGCCACACCTCCATGCATGTAACTTACACAGTCTTCCTAAACACTTCCTGTAAAGTGAGGTCAAACTTCCTTTATTGCACAGTGTGTTTAATTTAGAATTTTCTATCTCCTGCTCAGTTAAAAGCTTGCCTGGCCTTGCCTTCTGTGTGTCATTAAAGTTCCATTTACAGAGGAGGAGACAAAAACATCTACAGTAAATTAATATCTGAGTGATAATCAAACCATTTTTTTCGCTGTCAGAGCACGAGACGTTATTTTGAAATGTTATATAGTAACAATAATCAGCTGCAATGAAAGTCGTTTTCTTGGTATTTGTAGGTCAGTAAGTTTCTGATCCTCTAAATGAGATTTACTTCTCTCTTGTTTGGACAATGGACACCCCCTGATCTAACCAACACTGAATCCCAGCAAGAAGGCTCCTCATTACAGTGCTTATATCTGGATGGGAGATGTAAAACATTGGCATTGAAGAGGTAATATTTATTAATGTAGGTTCCAAAGATTGTTAGAGTATTCTTAAGTGTCATGACTTACTCTGCTTATTCTATCTGCTTATGTCCTCTAAACACATAAGGTAATTCCTAACTAAAACAAAGAGTTATAATCTCACAAAAAAGATACCAAAGAAATGCGCTACTTACGGAAACATGTTAGTTTAGCGATGCATTAGTGTTATATTATAATAACATTATAATACAGCATGGCTACATTTTTATCAGTCCGCCACTGATGGTGGCTCTAAATTATTAGAGGTATCTTGGTGGATGAACACCCAAATTACAGTTACCTGTACAAAACTAAGGATGTTTGATTGCTAACCATCTTAGTCCTTCAGCCTTCCTTGGTTGGCTAACAGTGTATAATAAGAATATATTAACACCCAATGCTATCTAAGTTAAAATCTGGGGAGATGCATTAACGGTTAGAATTTCCGTATAGAAATGAAGGCTCTCCTTTTAGTGTCTACGATGGTAGTGTTTCTTATCCAACAAATGGTTACTGTATCACCGTAGGATACAATAGTAAAACACAGTTTAGGAAATGGCTCACAACATCAAAAGCATCACAAGTGATTCTGCCTCTTCGAATGAAACCACGGATGTATCACCTAGCTTCACACATACTCAGCATCAAAGTTCTGAGGAGGGCGATGTGGCCTGAGATTCTTTGTGTAGCAATTTTTTTATCTCAGTAATCTGAGAAAGGATATGGGCTTCTCCTTATTGACCTAGAACTTCTGAAATAACAGTCCATAATATAAAGCCGTGTAGATCACTTGCCAAAACATATTTGCTATATTATAAATTACAATCCGATTGTTATAAGTCTGCTGTTAGTGTCAATATGGAGTCTTCCAGCTGTTGTGATGCCTTGCCAACTGGAAGGCTGACGGAACTAAAAGCTGAAATTGTCAAATGTTTCTCATAGAGATTCACTGAATCCATTAAGAAACATTGGACATGGTTGGCATCATTAAGCTGTTAAAGTGTGAGGAAATATATGACAGGCAGCCTCTAGAGGTGTGGTTTTAGAAAAATGTAAACATTGCCCTTTCTCTCAAACAGTAATGTTTTACATTGTATGAAAAAAAGCAACAGTATCTATGTACAACAACAACTACATTAAAAAGACATATGCTGCCTTACTCTGCAGGCTACAAAAAAATAAAAATAAAATGTCATATTTTTCATATTTACCTGCTTCTTCTTTCTTATGCTTTTCAAATCAACCCCAGGGGGCACTGATCTAGCCAATCCGTGTTCTATCCCTAGGAATGCTGGAAAAGTGAATTGGGCATGCCTGACAGATTTACACATGTTTTCTTGCTGGTGTAAATAAAATACAGTTAAAGGAACAGCTCACACACAAAAACAAAAATAGTTTTACATTTTATAAGGCTACTTAAAACCACCTATTATAGCAAACGAATATTGGGATTCAGTTCCACCATATAGCCATATTGGGTAAAGTCCACCACTATGTCACAGTACCTCAATATCAGTCCCACACTAATTTTAACATGCAAGATATATATGCTAACTTGCAATACTTACAGCTTCAACTGCTTCCAGAGACCCCTCAATTTATGCTTTCTTGTGGTCACTCCATAGGGGATTGGTGGGATGCGCAGCCCAATAGGAATCTTGTCTGCATTCCACATGCTGGTTTAAAATCATATTTGTCAAGTGATGCATGTCCCTTTAAGCTGAATGGTTTTAGTGCTTAAAGTGTGCCTTTAATTATAAATTACCAACAGTGTTTAGAGATATCATACATCATACAAATCATAATATGTGACTGTCCAGGACATCAGCCAATCATGAACTCCCAACACAAACGTAAAAACAGTAAATACTACAGAAAAATGACCAATGGCACAAGTGTGCTAACCAATCTAAGCCAATGAACCTTTACATTTAACAAAATACATAGACAGATGAAAACTAGCTAAAATGAAGAATTCATTAGTAGCTCAATGAAAAGATAAAACATACAAAAACACATTTTGTCCTAGACCTGGACCATAGTCGGTGGGCAGGAGGTTGGCTTCTACACTCCTGCAGGAGTCCGTGGCAAACGTACATTGGGAGGAGTGTTTGTCACAATGTTCCTGAAGCCAATCCTGTGTACCATATTTATAACTAAGCATAGAATAAAATAGAGCAAATAACTTTGGCTTGCACAATGTTAGATGAAATGTTATTCCCTACACATTGACATTGTGTCATATTTGGCACAACACTTTAAGAATGATTAGGTAACAATTGCTAACTACTCCTATAAATGCATACATGGTGAATTTGACAACATATACTATGAAAACTTTCCAAAGCTCTTCTCCGGGTCTTTTAAAAAACAATGCATTCATGGTTGGACTGACCATTCGGGGACTCAAGCATGGACCCCTAGGGCTGGCACCAGGAGATGGTCCAGTGGCTTAGCCAGTGTGCCTCCAGATGTAAGACCCCTCCAGGCACTCTACCCCACACTTGCACTAATGCAGAGTAAACATTTATCTACCGAACGGCAGGTATCTACTCTGCTGGGGATATGTGTGTACGTGTTCTGCTGGACCTGGTGCTAATGAGTATGATGGGCTTACGTACATAATCTTACAGACAGTAAACACTAAACCAGTAATGGCTTCCAAGAGACTTGTATCTGGTAAAGATGGTGCCGGAGGGAAGCTCCAGGGTGCCACTATGCTTTGTGTGGAGGAAGTCTTCAGGATTCAAATTTCAGGAAATTATATAATTTAATCTAAACACTTGTTTGATAATCCACAAACAGTAGATGGAAGCAGTGATCACAATCTAATAGAGTATCACTGATTTATGTAGTGTGTATAAAGCACTTTCCAAAACTGTCTCTTCCTTAGTGAGATCTGATCATTGAGAGTAAATAGCCCTGTCTTAAAGGAGTTTGCATAAGAAAAGTCAATACATTTATCACCCAGCCTGCTTTACCCCCAAAAATGAGAAGGAGACTTGCAGGATTCTGCAATGTCAGAGAGATTTATCCCTTTCTGTGCTGTTGATGAAGGCAGCTGAAGATAATTAAGTATTGGCCAACTTGCTGAAGGTATATTTAGCAATTAATTAATAGCTCAGTAACTGGTCGTGACATGTTTGTTAACTGCTGAATTGATACAAAGCTGTCACAAGCACAAACATTTGGTAGTAACATAATTAACCCATTCAGGTCAGCACATGATTTGCTCAATAGGCAGAGGGGGTGACATTTTCTCTGGTTGAAATGTAATTAGTTGTAGTGCTGAGGGATTGCATTTGCATGTTTTATTACTTTATTGGATAAACCATAGCTGCCAACAGTTTCAAATTTAGTGGGTCAGTCTCACACATTATAGCAAATATATACGTTGAAGGGATTTGTCCCACATTTTGAAATCAGCTTCCAGAGGGTTTGGGTGCTAGGAGCATGCATGGAGCGATTCAGCTAGAGTGGGTCTGCATGGTCTGCTAGAGTGGGCATGCTGTCAGTCAGTAAGTGTTGGGCCTGCCCTTTTGAAGACCACACCCTGCCCCTTTGCCAGGCAAACACAAGTCCTTTGCCAGCCAGGTCCAACCCCTGTGATAACAAGCAAGCACTACATCTCCAGTAGTTACATAGTTGCATAGTTACATAGCTGAAAAGAGACTTGCGTCCATCAAGTTCAGCCCTCCCCACACCTGTCCCCTGCCGTTGATCCAAAAGAAGGCAAAAAACGCAGTCTGAAGCACAATTTTGCAACAAGCTAGGAAAAAAATTATTTCTTGACCCCAGAATGGCAGTCAGATGTATCCTTGGATCAAGCAGTTATTACCCTACATTGAAAGATTATATCCTTGAATATTCTGTTTTTTTCAAGTATGCATCTAGTAGCTGTTTAAACATCTGTATGGACTCTGATAAAACCACTTCTTCAGGCAGAGAATTCCACATCCTGATTGTTCTTACAGTAAAAAAAACTTTCCTTTGCCTTAGATGAAATCTTCTTTCTTCCCGTCTAAACGCATGACCTTGTGTTCTATGTAAAGTCCGGTTTGTGAATAGATTTCCACACAATGGTTTGTATTGGCCCCGAATATATTTGTATAATGTTATCATATCCCCTCTCAGGCGACGTTTTTCTAAACTAAATAGGTTTAAATTTGTTAACCTTTCTTCATAGCTGATATGTTCCATTTCTTTTATTAATTTTGTAGCCCGCCTCTGCACTTTTTCTAGTGCCATAATATCCTTCTTTAGAACAGGTGCCCAAAATTGCACAGCATATTCAATATGTGGTCTTACCAGTGATTTATAAAGAGGCAAAATTATATTCTCGTCCCGAGAATGAATGCCCTTTTTCATGCATGACAATACCTTACTGGCCTTGGCCACTGCTGATTGACATTGCATATTGTTGCATAGTTTGTTGTCTATAACAATTCCCAAGTCCTTTTCGTGTGTTGTTATCCCTAATTCGCTTCCATTAAGGGTATACGTTGCTTGTGTATTCTTTATGCATAACTTTGCATTTTTCCACATTAAATTTCATCTGCTATTTGAGTGCCCAGTCCCCCAGTTTATCTAAATCCCTATGCAGCAAAGTAATATCTTGCTCACATTGTATTATTTTACAGAGTTTTGTGTCATCTGCAAACACTGAAACATGACTTTCAATGCTGTCTTCAAGATCATTTATAAACATGTTAAATAGAAGGGGTCCCAGAACAGACCCCCTGAGGGACACCACTTGCCACCTCTGTCCAGCATGAAAATTTACCATTAATGACAACTCTTTGTACTCTGTTTTTAAGCCAATGTTCTACCCAAGAACAAGCATTTTCATCTAGACAGATTTCCTTGAGTTTGAACACTAATCTATTGTGTGGAACTGTATCAAATTCCTTGGCAAAATCCAAATAGATCACATCCACTGCAACACCCTGATCTATACTTCTACTTACTTCTTCGTAGAATGCAATCAAGTTAGTTTGACATGATTTGTGCTTCATAAAACCGTGCTGATTTTTGCTGATAACCATGATCTTCTCAAGGAATTCTTGAATATTATCCCTTAATAACCTTTCAAATATTTTACCAGCCACATAAGTTAAGCTCACAGGTCTATAATTTCCAGGCAAGGATTTTGAACCCTTTTTGAATATATGAACCACATCTGCCTTCCTTCAATCCTCCGGAAAACTTCCTGAAAGAAAAGTGCTCATGCTATGATAATGGTAACTTTCTATTAAATATTGCTGCTGTTATGAAACATGTCGGCATTAGCTCTCAGCACACAGTGTACACAGGGTTAAAGCATCAAGATACTGATAGACTCCAACCATGTCAGCTACTCCAACCTCACTATTAGCTCTCAGCACACAGTGTACACAGAGTTAAAGCAGCAAGATATCAAGAGACTACTTATTACCTTACCTTACAAGTGGCAAGATGATTAAACTGCAGTGGTAATATGGAACCAAGAAATAGTTTGACATGGTTAACAGAAGCAACAATCATTACAGATTAAAACAGATTGAAATCAGAATCAGATCAGTCCTCAGAGTCACAGTCCCAGTCTTGCAGCCTAAAGCTTCACAACTTTCCAACTAGTCACAGCACAAGTGTCTCAGGTCTCGGCTGCAGAATGACTGAGCACTTTAAAGAAGATGATGGGTATATGCAGTAGGAGTTATTAAAACTATTCGTGGTGGGCAGCATAGTGCTCTGTGGCAGAAATGTTCTCTTTTCCTTGTCACCCCTGGGCTTCCCTGGCTTTATATATATTAATCTTATATTTGAAAAAAAATAATTTGCATAATCTGCCCTCAGGCAGTCACAAGGGCTACTGAGGTAGAGAAAATATATTATAAACTTACATTTGGTAGTGGCCAAATGCTGTGCTCTCCATGTGCTGCTTCCAATATGACTTTTTGCTTCTCTCTCCTGTGGGCACTGTAACCCCACCTCCTGGTGCTATCAGACAATGATGGCCCCTAAAAAGAGAGGCCTCTAGCAGGCCTTCACTCATGGAAAGCTGGCTGAATGGCAACTCAGTGGAAATACCTGGAATTCCTTCTTAAAGGACACTAGGCATGTGCAAACCTAGGGTGGCAAAAATGCTTGCACCAGCCCTGTTGACATGCCCTAGATGCTCTCAAGAAAGCTTCTCCAATGAGCTACCAGTGAAGGTGATGGGGCTCTGACCTCCACCATGACCAAGTACAGCTCACTATCCATAATGGGAGATGCAGACCACAAACAATGACTAAACATCTACTAACTACATTAACAGTTTGCTCTGCAATCTAAATTCAGTATGAGTAAAATGGGCAATGTAGTCTTTAAATATTCTGTTAGCAAAATAAGAGGTTATATTACTGAATCACAATTCCTCCACTTAGGTCTATGGTAAAATGCTATTCAATAAGAAGACTTCATGTAAATTTGATGTAGAAGTTCTATATCTGATACACTATAACGGGTCCCCTAGTGACACACAGTGATCAATTGGCCATAATCTAAACAGATTCCTAAAAAGCTCAGAAGCAAAAAAAATTTCCTTAACAGCAAACAGGTGTCCAGAACATTGAATGCACCAGCATAGAACTGGGCAAGGTGACCCCAGAATCCATTACAGGATGAAATTACATTCTGCAGATGCAGTTCTTCAAAATATTTATGGAACCTCCTGACAAGAGCACAGGACACCTGTATGTCTTGTTTGTAAAGTTATCCCTCCAAGGCCAGGCTGCAGGTGAGCAAAATGTCTGCTGTAAAGCTACACTTTACATGGTCCAACACAGTGGTTCTTAACACCTCCTTTGTCAATGCCTAAAATTGGACTCCTGTGCTTTATTAGTGTTCCTCATAAGCAGGGTGTAACTAGGAACAAAAACAATCCTTTGTCGCCCCTCCTCACTCCCACCAAGCAACATACCTGAGTGTGGTGGCTGTGTTTGATTGTGTGGGGCTGGTGTGATATGAATGTGCAGAGTTGGCTGAGAGTTATATGTATCGGCTGAGTGGGATTGTGTGTTTGAGGTTGGCTGAGTGGGATGTGTGTGGACTGTCTGAGTGTGGCTGTGCATGGAGTTGGAAGAGTGTGATTGCGTGTGGACTTGTTTACGTCATATTTTAGGGGAAGCTAGGCAGCATGGGGCGTTATTTTTCATTTATTAATTTATTCATTTTGCAAAATATGTTACCTTACAAAAATATTAGTGTGACTGCTGATACGTTGTTATATATATGATTGTAGCTCTGGGAATAGAATGTCCCTTGAAAACAATTTAAACTATAGAGTGACCCAGCAGCCATAGTCTAAATGACCTCCATACAGGAATGACCCAATGCTACCTAATGGTAAGATATCATAAACAACTCATAAATGTTAACCATAAGTTGGAACCATCTTTAAATCCCAGCGGTCCTGGGCTACATTATATCACAAGAGCTCCCTGTGTTCTATGTTTATATGGGTGACCTACTGTGAAAAGTTGAGACTGCCTCCAACTCAGGAAGAGCCAGAAATCTAGTGAGCAGGGCCAAAAACAAATCTTCCTCTTACGGTGACTGCTGTGTATCCTGCAGACGTTCAGAGCAAATGAACCCATTAATGATCAGAGACATGTTGAACTTTAATGTGTCATGATATAAGGGGGTTTGTCTAACTACTCCAGAATAAGACATGCAGTGAGGGGTGTTGATTTTAGCAAAATAAATGTTACATTAAATTTGTTTGTATTGACAAATGCAAATGTTGGCCCGAAATTCAGAAAGTTAATTAAAACCACACAAATCCTTTAAATTTAACAAGCAGCAAACATACAAGAATTATTAGAAAACTCTTAATGCTTCAAAACTTATTTTTTGAAAGAAAACAAAAAACATTATTTTGTAAAATAATCTCATGTGCCTTTTTTGTACTGATAAATGTTCCCACATTCAAATTTTCAAGTTTCGACCTTTCCATAACCCGTGCTCCTGACCATGTTAATGTGACACAGGCCCCAGCCCTTCTCGTTATATTGCCATTCAAAATTTAATTGAATGCATACAAATTGAATTAAACTGAGTGTTCTGGTTGAAATGATATAGCCTTATGGGGGGAAATATGATCGTTATTCATATTTT